AAGACTTCTCATTAATTGATCTTGGTGAGGACTACTACATCATCAAATTCACAAAGAAAGAAAACATGGATAAAGCTATCCACCTAGGTCCATGGTTCATTAATGGCCATTTCCTGTCTATCTCCAAATGAAAACCAAATTTTGTGGCTAGAAATGAAAAATTAACTACCTCTGTAGTTTGGATTAGGCTACCTCAATTGCCAACGGAATTTTATGATGGCAAAATCCTAGTAAAAATTGGAAAAACAATAGGACGCCTATTGAAAATTGACACATTCACTTCAACAACCCTAAGAGATCGATATGCAAGGATTTGTATTGAAATTCCTTTGGAAATCCCAATTCAACCCTACCTATTTGTTGAACACCACAAGCAATATATACACTATGAAGGGGAAGATTTTCTCTGTAAAAATTATGGTCGTTTTGATCACACACTAAGGCAGTGCATCTATATCAAGATACAAAGCATAGATCCTCACCATGCAGGACAAGTTCATCAACAAGCAGCTACAAAGGAAGATAATGAAACAGAATGGAAAACTGTTTCATTCAACAAGAGGAAGAATCAAGGAAAAAAAATTCCTAACCAACCGGCCATCATCCAAGCAAAAGGCAATTATGGTCCAGGTATCCCAGTTAAATTATTCAATGCAAATACATGTAAATACTTGGTTACTCAAACGCTTCAATACAAATCTAAAGATTATTCCTCTAATAACCATAACTCAAAAGTTAATACCCATCCTAGCATTGCTATTGATCAAACCATTACCCTCAATAAAAACCACCAATTAGATAAGAGGCAAACGGTTTTGCCAAAACCACTATGGATAATATAAATTCTCTTTGTAAAAATAAATTTAATCAATTAAGTAATGACTTGGATCTTGATATACAAGACACTTGCATGAATGATTCCAATGTGGCATCTAGTGTTTTCAAATTCTTAGATACTAATAATGCCATGTAAAATGGCACACTAACGGACACTTCTAACCCTCTAACTAATCCTACCCCTACTACCTTAAACCCCTCCCACCCTAAAACAAAAATCCTTCCAAAATCTTCCTTTATCCGTAGGATCTACTCAAAATCTTTCCTTAAGATTTGAAAAGATTACTACCCCTTAGCATGCATGCCAAATGGCAATGGACTTAGATCATAGAAGCCAAATGGACAAACTTTTAGAAACCCAAACGGAAGCCATCAATTGCCCTTTAAAGCAAGGCATTGAGCAACCAAAACACATAAGCTTGGAAGACTCAATCATTGGATCTTCCACCAATAAGCTCCCCCTATCCATTACCTCTAACCCCACGCCTACTAATAGTTCATTTAATACATCTTTCCCCACCCAATATGCCAAGAGTTCCTTCATCCCTACGAAGAAGGAATCGACTCATCCAAATCCTTTGTCAACACAGGCCACTGACTATGGAAAACATTCCACCCCTCCACCCACAAGAACAACCTCAGATAATCTATGCCCAAACTCAAGATTACCAACCGACAAGTTGGATGGAACTAGGTCTCATGGGCCATGCAATCTCCTTCACTGTGCCAATCAACGGTCAAGAGGCAATAGTGATTCTCCACAACACGCAATACTTAGCTCAACTCATAACGGAGGGAATGAGGTTAGCTATGAACAACTATCTCAACCAAGTTTGGCTAAACAACATAATCCAACCAATGGCTCCATCATTGAACCCTCAAATGGCTCAAGTAATGAGAGAACAATGGAACATGCCTCCCCAATTCAATCCCTTCAACCCCCAAAATGCTCCCTTGTACCTCCCCTTCTTCCCACTGGAAATGTACACTCAACTCCAACCGATCTTTCTACCTTGGGATATCAACCAGGGGAACCAAGAGATTCCCAACCCACCACCACTCCCTAGTACCACCACAACAACAGCAGGCAGACCCCATACCCGGTCCAGTGGAGGCAGTAATGGAAGAGGACAATGTCCCCCTAAACCTAAACTTAGGGCCAGTTCTAGAACTCTCAAACCTAGAAGGAATAAAAATCTTTCTCTTCATGGAGAGGCATGAGAAGAGGCATGTGCTCAACAGCCCTTTAGCCCTATACAAGTGCTCGATGGACATCCGTCCGCCACACAATCCAACAGTGGGCAACAAGGCGATGATTCTAGTACCCTCGATGAGAAGAAACCCTGTCCTAGGGGGGGTAAGGGAGAATGAGGTGACAGTCAACCATGCAACTAATTCATTAATGAATCAGCCTACTAACTTTATAATTTGGAATATTAGGAAGGGAACAATGATAACTTCAGGAGGAATTTTAGGGAAATGATCGACACCCATAGACCTTGCTTAGTGATACTGTTGGAAACTAGAATGGGTAATCATGCAGCCATGCTCAACGAGTTTGGCTTTACTGAGATGATTGAAGTGCCTTTGGAGGGTCAATCAGGAGGCATGGTTATAATATGGAAGGATGATATAATCAACGTTCAAAATGCAGTACGTAGGAACCAAGAGATCCATGCAACTATTGAGGTACTTCCCATACGTAAACCTTGGCTTTTTACTTCTATTTATGCTAGTACTTGTGTTTACAATAGAAATATAATGTGGGAGCATCTAAAAAATATTAGCAACTCTTACAAAGGACCTTGGCTTGTGGGAGGTGACTTTAATGATATTCTAGCCGCTAGTGAAAAATTTGGTGGTAGACCTATTAAAGATAGTAGAGCTAGATATATATGGTCTAAAATTAACAATTGTAATTTGATTGATCTTGGCTATAAAGGTAGTAAATATACTTGGACAAACAATAGACATAATTAAAAAGGTTTTATTTTGGAAAGACTTGACAAGGTTTTTGGGAATGAGGAGTGGATAGAACTTTTTCCTAAAAGCTCTATAATACACCTGCCTAGAACGCACTCTGACCATAACCCTATTCTTATAGAGTTAATCCCTAAAAACAGATCTCTTTGTAAAATCCCTTTTAGACTAGAAACCTTTTGGTGCAAACATCCGGAATTTCAGAGTTTAGTAAGAAATAATTGGAATGATAGTGACTATTTCAAAGCTAGCCTTAACTTTGTGGAAAAACTAAAGCCTTGGAAAAACATCACCTTTGAAAATATTATGGAAAGGAAAAGAAAATTGCTAGCTAGACTTCAAGGCATTCCAAAATTCCAATAGCTATTCTACCAGCATTTTCCATCACAAACTAGAATTAGACCTCAAGAATGATTTCAATGATATTCTTAAAATTGAAGAGGACTATTGGAAACTAATCTTGTGGCTTAATGATGGTAACACAAATACAAAATTCTTTCATGTCTCAGTCACTAATAGAAAAAGAAGAAACAAGATTAACTTCTTTAAAGATGAGGCTAGTAATTGGATTAATGATCATAGCCAGATCATGTCCCATGTTCACAACTATTTTATCTCTACCTTTACCTCCTCTCACCCACAATCCAGTTGAGCCAACCCTCTAATTCACCATTATAGTGGTAATAACATTAATTTAGACAACCTTGATATCTCCCTAACATATTCTGAGATTAAAAGAGCTATTTTCTCATTCAAACCCTTTAAATCTCTGGGTCCGGATGGATTGTATCCTTTTTTCTTCCAGAAATATTGGCATTTTATAGGTCAATCAGTTTGTAAGCTCTGTCATGACATTTTTCAGAACCAGGAAATCCCCCCTGAAATTAACAAAACCTATATCTGCCTTATTCCTAAAATCCATAATGCCAACAACATTCGAAATTTCACGCCTATTGGTTTATACAATACAATCTATAAACTTATTACTAAGATAACCGACTTAAACCATTCCTTAATCTACTGATCAGTCCATATCAAACTAGTTTTATGAAAAATAGAAGGGCATCTAATAATGCCATCCTCATTCAGGAGTTGGTCTCTAAGTTTAATAAGTTAAAAGGAAAGTAGGGCCACATGATTCTAAAAATTGATCTAGAAAAAGCATTTGGTCCTTTAGAAATGTCTTCGTTCGTCACACCCTTGACTACTTTAAATTTCCTCCTAAATTCTCTAAATTATTACTGAGTTGCATCTCTACTAGTAATATTGCAATTTTAGTAAATAGCTCTGTCACAAATTATTTTGCACCAAGTAGAGGAATAAGACAAAGGGACCCTATTTCCCCCTATATATTTATTCTCTGCCTGGAATTGCTCACTAGATACATTGAACACCAAGTGGACACTAGAAATTAGGATCTCATATCCTTAGGTAGTAGATGTCCAAAAATCTCTCATCTATTATTTGCAGACGATCTTACCCTAATGGCTAGAGCAAATGATAAGTCAAGCCAAGCCATCAAACATGGTTTAGAACAATTTTGTTCCCTAACTACAAGAAATTAGACTTATTGCGGCGACTAAAGTCGCTACAAAATCCATGAAAGTCGCTGCTACATGTTATTAGTGCCGACATTTGTGTTGCTACAAGGAAAACCGTAACTGAAAGGTATTTGTGGCAACGCCAAAAGGTCGCCGCTAAAAGCTCATATTTTGCGGCGATACAGTCGCCGCAAAAGGTGGCAAAACCCGCTACAAAAATGGTTCCACAAGAATAAAATTTTAGCTGGGTCGCCACTGCTATTCCCTTTTAGCGGCGACTGCTATCGCTGGCAAAACATATTTTCAGTGGCAAGTTCATATCGCCACTATAAATGACTTTTAGTAGCAACTCATGTCGCTACAAAATAATTAACCAAGAAAGGCACAATAACTTTCTGTTGCGACTAAAGTCGCTGCAAAAGAAATAAACTAACAGTGGCAATTTTAACATCGCAACAATTACTAATATTTTGTGACAAAATAATGTCGCCACTAAAACTTATCTTCTCAAAAGCTATAATGACCAAAATTATATATATATCCGGTAGGAACCTAATTCTCTAAATTTAATAACTGGATATTCACATCTATTGACTACCAATATTAAAAGCAACCAATAATATTTAAAAAACACCAAAAGAATTTCTCAAACTAAATATTATAAATATTTTCATTACAAAAAAGTCAATTACATAATACTACACGACATGTGCATTGTAATTGTACGCATATACATATCCCAAAAAAAGACAAAATATTAAGTGCCTTGTAATTGCTCCTTGGTCGACACCATCCCTAAACGATACCATTGTTTAAGTGTCTTGTCCCTGCTAAAAAAATATTTTATATATATATATAAGGAACAAAATGAGATTTTTTATATCAAAAAACATACATAGAAAAACTTAATAGAATACCAATGACTTCCTTTAGAATAATGCTCATTCAGAAGTTAGGTTTTGGAGTCGACTACTCGTTACTGAATTGGTTGGGATGCATTGTCATTCTTTTAAAAATTAGTCTATTAAGAGGAAAGATAACAAGGATGCATTGCCCAAGCAGGAAAAAAAGATAACAAGGATGCATTGCCCCAGCAGGAAAGATAACATATTGGTTTGGATGCATTGTCATTCTTTCATTTTCACCTTTGATCTAGAAAACTCTGTATCTATAGTAAAACATTTAGCATTGCCCAAGCAGGGAAAAAAAGCTAATTTACATGACAATTACTACATTTAATAGCCCGATCACGGAGTATTAAGCATCTAACATTATAGCAATCGCAAGTCAAAATGATTTCACTATTAAAATAAACACATAAGCAGGAAACAATAAACACACAAGCAGGAATCGCAAGTCAAAATGATTTTACACTAGTCAAATTCTTCTAAGCATTGCACTAGTCAGATAACAGCAGGAGCTACAAAGCGGCTGTAATCAAATTTGAACATGAATTCTAGCTTAACTTATTTTCATCCTTCAAACAGGACCTATAAATGGTCCCGAAAATTTTCACTATTATCATGTAAAGCATATCTACAAGCAGAACCGTAGAAGCGTGTACTGTCTTGACAAAAAGTTTCTACTCTTTAACTATCTCAGCAGAAACATGTAGTATGGCAAAAGCAACATAGAAATGCCAAAAAGTTGAAGGACACTCATCTCTGTTATAATCATACTAACATTGAGCTAAAAGAAAAAGAAAGAAAAAAAAGAGCCAAAAGACCATTATCTTCTTTAGAATAATGCTCATTCAGAAGTTAGACCACCAAACATTTAAAGCTTTAGTTAGCAGATCTGAAAATTCTTATCCAGATGCTACTTGATCAAATTACAAGTTCATATCATAACCAGCATATCGTCCCTTCACATAGAAATTCAATATACCTGTTTCATTTCATCAGCAACATATATTTACGGTGTTTTCTTCATATTAACTGCCATAAACGTAACTAATTACGAGATTAAGAGAATTAAATTGGTTTGTAAAAATCCAGATTTCACATAAACAAAAAATAGACCAATAGTCTATTATCAAGAGGATGAAATTTAAAGAAGGAGAAGTTGAAAAGAAGATAGGGAGCAAGTGACGGAAGAATTATCCAGAATTAAGGAAGAGGAAATGCCGAGAAGGAAGACGAATTGTTAAGAAGCAGCAGAGCAAGTACCTGTTGTTGCATTCTGATCATGAAACTAGCAAATTATTCATGCATCCTCTTGTCCACTTCTAGATTGATCCTCTTGCCTACTTCTGCATTTGCGTGTTCACGCTCCTCTGCCAACTTCCTTTGCAACTCAAGCTCCATATTTCTTTTCAACTCAACAGATGTTCACGTTCTTCTTGCAACTTCCTATCCATCTCGGCTTTCATCTCTTGACGCACAATTTCCATAGCTGAATACACGCTGGACTCTATGTTTGCATGTTGCGTGTTACTCTTTTTAGGAGGCTTCTCTCCGTATCCTTTTCCGCGAACATAGCTTGTTCTCTCACCAAGAACGGTGGATAAAATCTCATCTCTAGTCATGGAATGCTCTCTTCAGATTGTTGTTGAGTGACAACATCTTGGAGTTGACCCTGCATTTATGCATAATCATTTACATCGAAACATAATAAAACACACTGAATGTAACTTACAGAAACAGAAAGATAACAAGTCTATGATTTTAGATAATTACATGAATTTGTTGGGATTGTGAATCCACCCACACCAGTTCTCCTCTATCATCCTTGCGTGTATGTTGGATCTCCCAAACTTTATCTGGTGTGTATATTTCTCCAGTAATAGTTTTTCTCTACAATATAATTTTAGAGAAAAAATGGCTAAGCAAATATATAAATATGTAAATAACAAAGAAGCATATATGATATTAGGGGATTAAATATATTTTTACCGTAGATTCCTCTACTTTTGCAAAAGACTTTGTACCACAAGTATGCTTAGTTATTTGCTTTTCTCTGAATAAGCAAACATTTTCCTCGACAGGATGAAAATTTCATGAGGTAGTACATGTAAAGTTTCCAAGAACCTCACATCACACTGTTCAACCAGAGATTGACAACAAATACCATACCAATCTTGTGGGAATATCAAGCAAAAAATAAACTACAAATCAACAAGCCAACAGCGGACCAACAAAAGGAAAATCTACTGAAACAGATTCCTTGCTTGCAACTTAAAATCCACATCGAAGAGCTCTTTTCTTAAAAGATACAGAGGATAAGAAAGGAAGTTTTGGCTTCAGAAGCAACTATCTCAATAATACCTCCACCACACCTTGATCCTGGAACCATAATAATACATCAGAATAAATAACTGAATCAAGATACTCACACATTTACAGAGATTTAGAAGGATAAAATGGAGAACAAAATTCAAGAACTTAGCTAAGTCATCTCAAATTTGAGGATTATGATCGCAACCAAGAACAACAAAATGATCCATCAGATAAATAAGGGGGCAAAAGGCATGTAAAGTAAGTGATAATTTAACAGAAAGTGTTAGGATAAAAATATACCATTCTTTTTGTAAAAGAGGCTTAAAAAGAAAGACACATAAATTGAAATAAAGAGAGAATCTAGTATTGGTGTTGCCATTTCTCACGAGGCCACAAGATTCAACTGNCAAGATTCAACTAAGCTTTTCTCTATGTGAAGGAAAAGAATGGAAGTATTCAAGTCCATTTAATCAACAAATCATGTGTTGATTTCCAGCTAAACAAAAGGAAACGTGATCAACACTCCCTAAGTGATTGCATAAACAAAAGCTTTTCATATTATTTTGATTTTAAAGAAGTAATGAGCAACCAAAGTTAAAATATATACTCCAACTACTTTGCACAAAGAACTAGTGAAAACATCATCGTTACCAATAAATCATCGACACAGTTGACACTCACGTGCACAAGAAAACTATTAGATTTGAAAATCCACACCCTAGTGACTATTTTTGCAAGGTGATACAACAAGAAACTTGTGCAAAAGCCCTAGTGATGCTGTTACACTACAAGAAACTTGTGCAAAAACTATCAGGAAGGTGATACAACAAGAAACTTGACTGTTTTGCAGTCTTATTGCTTTGAACTTAAAGCAATGCCCTAGTGATGCTGTTACACTACAAAGGATGGCAAGGATCACAATGGTCCAGATTTTGTGCCTTTCTGACCAGCTGATATCAACATGATTCAACAGGAAGATTTCATGCAAGGATATCAACATGATTCAACAAGAGGCTACACAAAAACTTGTGCAAAAGCAGTGCATTGGTTTGGACAGTGCAGTTAACTGTTTATGCGTATTGCACAGGTATTTCTTCTACAAATGCAGGTACTCAAGGACACCGAATCATAGTGCTCACTGTTGGTTGACTGAATGCCCAATTAAGAAAGTTGTCTACTCCATCTCTATACCTTTGGTCGACTCTATTCCTAATATTGAACCAACTTTTATCCATCCTTTCTATTTAAAAAAAAAGAAAGTTAATTAAATAAAAGTGCAACATTGATAATAATCAAAACATATATAATAACTAACATACATGAGAAATGAACAAATCTAATCACCTCTAAATAAAATGAGAAATATTGCAGCAAGTTTCTACTCTTACTCATTTTTTGGTTACAAGGAAATAAACCAGTTTCATAAAAAAAATATATACACTGCCACATCTACAAACACCTTATTGATAAATAGATTTAATATCTCTTACCCAACTAGACTCAAAGAGTATTAAATTGATAAGCTCTAAACTCTTTTTTAGAGCAATCTGATACATACAGGAAAACATGTCTTTCAAACGTGCATCTTAGCTAATTTCCTAATACTAGGTAAACTGGATAAATCTAGTTTACTTTTTCCAACATTGACAATATGGACAGAAGCCAGTAGTAAACCTCATTCATGTCATTGTTGAGCTCACAAAATGCTAGAAATTGCTCTAAAGAAGCAAACATTTCATAGAATATAACAAGGTGCAAGGGAAGGACATGATCTATCGAATGTACTATAAAAGCTGAAAAAACACAGAATATTTTTACAATGTAGAAAGTGGTTACATGGTGTTGGTACAAAAAAATAATTACAGAAAAATAATTACAATGTAGAAGATTACAGAGATTATAATCCCCATTATGCACCAAAGAGACCTATGCTCTTTTCCGCAATCCTTTTCCAGAATACGCGAAAACAGAGAAGTTTTTGGAGTAATGATCTTAAATCAGACAACATTGATCCTTGCAAGGAACTTGGAAACATGTTTTAAATTGCCAACTTGAATGACAAAAGTTGGAATTGACTTCTTATTATATCCTGTTTCCCATATTAGTTTTTTCTCTTCTCTATAATGGAAGTAGACATGGCGTCGTTTCTGTTGCATAATTTGTTATAGACAATAAGAAGAGGTTAAAGATAGAGTATATTATGAAAGAATGATAATATTGTAAATATTTTTCCAAACTTAAGCACATGATTACAGCTTATCAATGTTTTATTTATGGTTATAGACTAGTTATGTTTACGACGTAGGTGCAAGATTCTACTAATTAAACGCAATAATTTTCGTGATTAATGTCAACCAGAACTTGTGGGTGATGAAGAAACCTCTAAAAAACAATGTCTACAGAAGATTGCATAACTCAAAAAAAATGCGAAGTCTAAATCCTCACAAAAGATATTAGAGAGACGACAACAACATAGCCCATGGGAAGAAACAATGTTAAGAATACAAGCATACTTCGAATCTAGTGATTAACCTTAATTGATAAGTAATGATAGTAAAAAACAAAGAATATCAAATAATTTAACTCTATCTGTTTGTAAATGGTCTTTATTCTCATACAAATCTGAGATCACTATGAATTTCAGAAATCTACATAACAAAAATGAATACACCACAGTAGAAACACATTGGATACAACTGCTAAAGGAAAATTATGGCAGCGATTCAACCAGCCCTTACGAGTATGGAATACCAACATACAATAGGTCTCTCAACAAGAAGCTTTTAACTTACCCAAACTAAGATAGTCGAGTTCTGTCAAGACTGAAAATCAACAACAACACCAAATACGCCTCAAATGAGTCTTCCTGTGCGGCTCTTTTTTTTGTATTCCTATAGATTATCAAATGGTTCAGAGAAATTCGAGATAAAATCTAAGAATACAAATATAAAATTACTGAAATAACAATAATCCCTAACTGCATGTTGAAAATTTTGCCTTAAAGAATCCTTATAAAAAAATCCAAAAATAAATTTATATATAAACTAGTATGGGTATAAACAAAAAAGAAAGAATTAGGGTCACTAGCAGCTATATGAGAGAAATCAGTTGTTCAATTCTTCCACCACAAAATCGATATGGATTTGAACAACAGCTATATCAGATTTTTCGTTCTAAAAGAAAAAGGAAAAGAATAGGGATTTGAACACATACCTGATAAATGAGATTCACATTTTGATTAGAAAGATTTAGAGCTGAGTCATGAAATTTTAGCAGAGATGTGATTTTAGAGAGAGGGGGGAGGGATTTCTAGAGAGAGGCCTGTTTGTGTGTCTGAAGGGCTTCGTATCTTTTAATTAGAAAGAAGGAGTTTATTTTTTAATTTTTTGTTGTTATTTTAAATTAAAATTTCTAGGTTAAAAGTATCTTTAGTGGTGATAGGTTAAAAGTCACCACAAATAATTTGGAGCCAAAATTTTATTCTTAGCGAGACCGAAAATTTCAGCCACATCAGAGGCGACCTCAGAAAAGTCGCTACTAAATATTCACCTTCTGTAGCGACCTTTTAATGTCGCTGCTAATACTATAAATTTTGTAGCAACCTATAGGGTCGCCACTATATGTTGCCACTAAAAATCCAAATTCTTGTAGTGCCTTTCAGGCCAAATTATCAATATTACTAAGTCAAAAATCCTCTTCTCCCAAAATTATAATCATATTCTTATTAGAGATATTACCACTATGTTAGGAATCAAAAAAAGCACTAACTTTGGCACCTACCTAGGTTTTCCTATCTTAAACCATAACCCAAAACCTAGAGACTTTCAATTCCTTATCGATAAGATGAGAACCAAACTTGCCTCTTGGAAATTGAAGTTCCTTACTCTTGCAGGAAGAATCACCCTTGCAACATCTTGCCTAAACTCAATTCCTAACTACTACATGCAATACACTCTTCTTCCTAAACAAACCCTAAAAGAGATTGACAAAGTCCAAAGAGATATTATATGGGGTAGCTCAAATAATAAAAGGAAAATTCATCTAGTCAACTGGCCTACCCTTTGCCAACCTAAACACACTGGTGGCTTAGGCATCCATAATGCTCTAAATAAAAATCTATGTACTCTAGCCAGCCTAAGCTGGAGACTCCTTACAAAAGCCACCATTCCTTGGGCCAAACTGATCATCTCCTATTATTGTACAGCATCCTCAATAAATAGGACATCTCTTCGTTTGGAAAAGCATTTGCAAATGGTGGAAAATTTGCTCAAAAGGTATCATATGGTCCCCACACCTTCATTCAAACCTTAATATCTGGGAAGCAAATTGGATCCCCAAATTTGGCAACATAAGGAATCATGTGATAGGTCCACCTTCCCTTAAAGATACTTCTATAAAAATAAAAGATATTTTTGATGGTTGCAATTGGAATCTAGACAACCTTTCCTTCTCCCTACCTCCAGACCTTCTAACAAATATATCCAAAATAAAAATCCGTCTCAAGGGTCCCCCCAAATGATCTTCCTATTTGGTCTCTCACAAATAAAGGGGTATTCACTAGTAGATCATGTTATACACTTCTAGAAATTCCCAATAGCACTGACTTAGATTATGACTGGATTTGGAATCTAGACTGCCCAAACAAAATCAAATTTTTCCTATGACAATACTTACATGATCGAATCCCTTGCAGAAAATACCTTTCAAACATTGACCCCTTCTCTCCCATCTGTAAAAGTCCAAAAGAGGAATCCATTAAGCACATTTTCCTAGAATGCAAAGTCGTCAACCAATTTTGGGCTAGCCTTCGTTTGCAACACCACAACAACCAAAATGGTAAACACTGGCTAATACATATACGTGACCTTAACCATCCACCACAAAAAATGGCTTTAGATTGGAAATCTTATTTTCCTTTTATAATTTGGAACATTTGGATTAATACGAACAACAATAACCATAACAACACTATCAACCCTATTAATGATTCCCTTATCATGCAGAGGGCTTTGGAATTCAAACTTCTCACAGGGAAAATTCCTATACACTCTTCCAAATTACTCATTAAAATCAATTGGCATAAACCTCCAAAGGGTTGTTTTAAACTAAACGTTGACGCCAACTTCACAAACTATAACCAACATTGTGGCTTAGGTGGTGTTTCAGAAATTCTAATGGTAATTGGGTTGTTGGGGGTTGTTGGCTTTACAAAATTGTCTCATGCTAATGGTTCACTAGCAGCTGAATTGAAAGCCCTAAGAGAAGGCCTCAAAACAACAAAGGAATGAAAACTCTACCCACTTGAAATAGAGACGGACTGCTTAAAGTTAATCCACGCAATACATGAAGGCAACAAATTATTTAACAAGGTTGTTAATGATTGCAGGTGGTTAATGCACCAACAGAATGTTATCCTCCAGCACACCTTCAGGCAGGGGAATAGGGTTGCTCATCAACTAGCCAAAAAATGCCTGGACATGGACAATCAAGTTTTTGGAATAGCTGGAAGAAGAAATGCCCAGAAGACAAGAAAAAAAGTTTTCGTTAAACCTACAAGTGATGTAATAGATTTTGTGGATAGTGAAAGACTTGATATTATTACTCATGAAAAACTCCTATCTTTTGATGCTTGCAAACTTTTAGCAAGCTTAAGTAATCAGTGTGTCCTTCGTGACACATCTTATGATAAACATGTACCAGACATTCCTTAGTAATTAACATATATATTTCCTGTTTGCTCAAAAACAAAATATACTTATATGACTTTGGTGAAAAATAGTCATAGTAATGATTATTTGTGAAATTTACCCCTATTCTTGCTATTACCATTTTCTTATAATTTATTAACAAGAATATTATATTTTTATATTTTAAACAATTTAGACTTAAACTATCTAATCTAAATAACATCCTTTTATAATCATAAAAATCTATCGAAGTCTTGTGATATGCTTAAGACAATATTTCTTTTCTCCAATAAAACCTCACCACACAAAATGAAAGGAGAGGAAATATATATTTTTTTCCAGTAGGGAACATTTATTTTAAGTTTTAGAATATTTTGTTTTCATATTCTAGACAAATAGTAGTAAGGAAACAAGCAAGAGAGAGGTGACAGCAAACTTCTTGTGAAGACCATATAGTAGCACGTGAAGCTATTGCAATATATCTTGTGCAGCAGCCTATGTGCGTATAAGTATTAGATCCTACATCAACTCTTCACTGGCAATCTGTGCGGTCATTGTATTGCCACCATTTACTATCGTTTCCCCTAACCATAGCTGCCATCGCAACCAAAATATAGGAGACAATCNTATATATATATATGATTGGACCACTAGAATCCATATCTTGCACGTAAGTCTACTCTCTTGATATATTCCAGGCAGTAATTATAGAGAGAGTGCCTTAATTAGAATGATTCCAACTGCTACACAACTTGAATCCAATAACGATTTAATTGAATCTTTCGAAACCTTCTTTGATGATAGGCTATAATTACGTATTTAGTCGTTTCTTACACTTAAATTTACTGCATTTTAATTGAGTTTGCGCTTTGATCGCTAGTGTTTTGCACTAAAGGTGTGTTTTATGCCTTGTAGGAGTGATTTCGAGCTATATAGATGCTATGAAATGAATTCAAGTGATTTGGAGCTTTGAAGTCTTAGTAAAATCCCAAGGAATTAAGCCGGGATCGTATTCGGGGATCAACGGATGATAGAACAACAAAATGAAGAATCGAGTAGGCATATTGCGTACTGTCTAGTAAAATGCACATAACCTTTTTTCTCAGAACTCCATTTGGGCTCTACAATATATGGTTGGAAAGCTAACTCAAAGGTCTACAACTTTCATGTTTTACGTTTTTCTAAATTCCAAACGGAACATGGTGAAAAACGCGGTCGAAACCGCAACCGCGGACCTGAAGCGAGCTGAGGCAGTATACCTGCCATATACCGCGTTTGTACCGCGGTCGGGCCGCGGCCGCGACAGTCCAGACGTGAAATATTGTCCTTTTTTGCGTAGGAGAAGGTATAATTGTTTGGGCCCGACCCTACTTGGTATATATACATGGAAAAATGGTATTTTTAAGGGGTTGGACATACTTTTGACACAGATTCGACCTAAGGAGGCAGAGACACAATAGGAGTAAGGCTGAGAATTCTTCTACGAGTTTTTCCTTCCTCTTCCTATTTTTCATTGTTGGTTATGACTTTTAGTATTGTAGTTTTACATACTATTATGAATAACTAATTTGTTATCTAGGGTTTTGATAGAACCTTTTGTAGGATAAATTCTTGTTATGTTTATTTATAATTGAGCCATAGTAGTTTCTCTATTTGTTCAACTATATTATTCTTGTGGTTGATTGAAGGGCCCTCAATTAGCTGTGCCTATTTAGTATGTATTACTCGGGAGAGAGTGCATATTAAGGTAGTTGTTGAACAACATCACTCCCGACGTATGTGAGGAATCAATAACCAAGGGTTTAAAGGTGGGATTGGGGATAACGAAACCTTGGGTGCGATCTAAGTGAGCTGTAATTAAAGCCAGCTAGTGTAACTCGGGAGAGTATGTCTAGTAAATTGTAGTAATTACTCGTGAGAGAATTATAACACGCAGAGCGCTCATGATCGATAGAGAATACTTATGCAAAAGGTATAGAAGACATAGCAGGAAGGAATCCAACAATTGGGGAAATCATAACTCTAGACCTCCTTAATCTTGTCTCTAACCCTTAGTATCTGTAGTTGTTTATTTACTATTTTAATTTGTTAGTTAGTTAGTTAGTTAAACACAAGAATCTTAATATCTATAAATTAAGAATTTTTCAAGCTTGAATTTTTGGTGATAGTGAACAACTGTAGCTAAGCCTTAATTCTCGGTGTGATCGATTCCGAACTTGTAAATCGAATTATATTTGCAACGATCGCTTAGTCCTTTTTATAAGGCATAGTTGCGTAATCAGGCTGATTGATTTAACAAGAGTTTTTCTTACAACAATTGCTTCGCTTAACCTCCGAAAGCAATGACAATTGCATTAATGAAGAAAGGCTCATCATAGACCAAGTGTTGGCCCATTACTGTACGTATTACGTAGCCTAATCAAAAGTTACACAGGAGAGCGTTTTCCTAGTGTAATCCCCTACTTGGTTCACGGCTCTCGAGCCTACTTACCTATGGATAGCAGGGTTTCGACGAGTCCGGAACTAAAATGTGGTTCTTTTGAACAAGTAATACCTTAATAGGTGTAAAAAAAAAGATGATATTTTTATATATAGGGCGCTATACATTAACGTTAACTGTGCCGTTAATGT